CTCCTTGGACTCGACCAAGGCGACGAAACGCTCGAGAAGGTCCTTGGCCGAAGTCTTGCGAATCTGCTCGCCGACCCACAGCCCGACAACGGCATCGCCCGACTTGGCGAACAGGGCCGTCGACTCGCAGTTGGGGTCCTCAATAATGTTCTTCTGCAGCTGGAGCGTGGCGTCGACGATATCGGACGACTTGCTGCCGTCGACCGTCTCGGGCCACCAGCCGACCTCGACGTCAACCTTGGTGGGCCTGAGCTCCGCCGATGCCAGGCACGGCGGGCCGAACTTTTGTTCGCTGGCAAGGGCCGTGTTGGAGGACGACTCGGGGACGCTGCAGGCGCGAATGGTGTTCTCCCTGGCAGTGCTGGTGATGGGACGGTTCAGGTTGCCCTCAAAGAGCAGCGTCTCGTTGCACTGCTTGAGAGCCGCGATGGACGGCACGACGGTCCAGGAGAAACCCGTTGGGCCGACATCTGCGCAAGGAACGGGACAGAGGTCGCGAAATGTGGGCTTGGGAACGAGGGCGGGATGGGGGAAGGTTTCCACGTCAAAGCCGGTTTCAGAGCCGATGTGTGGCGGCGAAGAAGCCTAGCCAGCCCCCGATGGAGGTGACGGCATTCTGACACCTCATGGTTTGAGTCAAAGAGTGAAAATCAAGAAAACAAAGAACGTGGTGGCCAAGACTGGCACAAGGGATATGGCCAGGCAATGATGTGCCGGTGAGAACGAGAGAGGTGAGAAGCAAGCCAACAGAGAGGCAACTGCCGGTGGGAAGAGACAGTATGAAGAGGCCTGTCAGTTCAGCGCTCAAAGAGAGAAGAGAACTCTGAACTGCGATAACTTATATGAATCGATACCAAGCTCCTACGACTTGAAAAGCGAGTGGTAATGGCTGCCCATGTTCTGTTCCGACCCGTCACCTCCCTCTCCGAGAGGAATTGATCCTTTCACTGACGGCAAAACTCCAGCCGAGAGACCGAATAGCCTGGATCATTACTGTGCCTCCTGTAATTGCGAATGAATCCTGGCCGGCGCTGCATCGACCGAAGGATTCAGTCTGGCTTAGATAGAGGGGGTGCAATGTCTAGAGAGCGGCTCGACTCCCCTTCTCGGCAAAGCATGTGCCCCTGAAGAAATGCCATGTCCCGTCGGCCAATGGACGACACAATACGAGTTTGCTCAAGTTTTGCGAACTTTCTCCCTCACTCTCATTGTGTCTCCTCTAGCTGTTGTGCAGAAAGAAAAAAAAAGAAAATAGAAGAAATCACCGCAAAGGCCCAGACCACAAGGAGGCGAATCCTTCGGCATGATCCCCCTGTCGCGGGATGGGCGCAGGTACCACAGCCAAAACGTTGTTAGGTTGCATCGCGCCCAAAGGCTAGTCAAGTCATCCCCAGGTAATCTCTCCTCATCCATCCCGAAATCCCTCCAGAAACAGACTGCTAGGCAAAAGCTTACATGGACAACCGTTCGAGCCCCCTGAGACCAGGTCTACCTGGGTGTGCACTAACTCCTTCGAATGCGACATGGGCTGGACAAGGTTGTTCTTTTCTCTGAGCCGTGATGAATGCGGTAGTTATTCCCAGCAACCGAATCCCGAATAGGCAGTTGGCTACCTAGGAATGCAAGGCTAAATCGCAATCTCGGGCTCCCTCCAATCGACCCCTGGAGGATATGGGGTTTTGGGGATCGAGAATTGGGGAATCTGACATAGGATTCTACAAGGCAAGGTAAGGCCCTGCAGAGAAGACGAATTCACAACCAGAACTCAGCAGCGGCACACATGTTCAGCCGTGCTGGAGTCACCTTATTCTCACAGCCGAGGACCATCAAGGGAAGTTCCAAGGGTCAGGGTCGGGATCCCCCAATCCGTAAGTTTTGAGATCGCTTACGGCCTTTGAACCCCCTGTTCTATCGCTCGTCCTCCCCCCTACCCTACTTTCGGTTGCCCATGGGACCGCATCCTGCATCTGGCTCTCGGAATAATACTGCCAAATGCGAAAGGGGCTGATACCTTTTTTTTTGGTGCTTTAGCCCTCGAAGGATTGGAGAAATTGTCAAGCCAAGGCCTGGATGAGGCCTCGACCCGGGAGAATAGGCGTCCGGTCCACGTGGACCTTCGCGAGGACGTTCGATGGCCTTGAAGGGCGATAAATATGTTTGCCGCCATCAACGCCGCCTCCATTCTGTGCCATGATGTTGATGCTTTTGCACGTCAAGTTCCTCAATCGAAGGACCGACTGACCTTTGGCGGCCTGCTTGTCTCATTCTATCAGCCCCTCGTCTGGGTGATTCCTCTCATTTCTTGCTTCTTTCTTACTTCCCTTCATCATGAGGTTCAATGCGCCGTCTCTGGTCGTGGCCATCCTCGGTGCCACGGTCCGAATGGTTCACGCAGGAATGAGCGTCCGCGGTGCCGAGGCCCTCTACATTTACAACGTCTACCGCATGGACGTGGAGATCAGCGCCGCCAGAGCACTCGCCGACGGATCTTGGTCGGGGCCAGGCGACACGCGTGAAGTGCCCTGGAAGATTGGCCGCTACCTCGGCGACAGCACGGTGCCGGAAGATTATCCCAACGGGCGCGGCAACCACTACGGCCTCAACTTCCATGCCTTCATCCGCCTGACCCAAGGGTCGGGCTCCAACTACCCGCGCAACAACCACCAGAGTCGAATCGCCGACGACTGGATGCCGACGCTCTTGGAGGTCAAGAACCTGCCTCGCTTCCCGCCCGACAGCGGCGAGCTCATGCCGATCGACAGCAACACCCCCACGCCCCAGCGCTACACCTTCAGCAGCTTCGACCTTCACAAGATGCTGGGAGCCACGAGCAAGGGCGCCGGCCTCAACGCTAAGAACCCCTACTTCTGGTTCGACAATGTGCTGAAGATCCTCGGCAAGCGCGCTGCGCAGCTTTACGAACTCGACCCGGCCCGCGGTGCCGGCTACTTCAACAACATGAAACCCTGCCTGCGTGAGTCGCACGTGGGCCGCACCATTGAAATAGAGCCTTTCAAGCAGGAGGGCATCGGCAAAGACCTCGTAGCCCTTGCCAAGCAACAGGGCATGGGGTCTTCGTTCTCGAGAAATTGGATCAAGACCAAAGAAGTAACACCCGCTGAGAATATCAGGAAGGGCGGCGACGAGACGGTCTACTTCAGCCAGATGCCTGATCCCAAGAATGCAAACCAGATGGTGCCGTACAAATACACGGCGTTTGACTCGGCCGCAACTTCGGACGCTATCAAGAAGAATACCAAGAAGCAATTCCGAGAGGCTCTTCAGGCGCGAATGAAGGTGATGGCGAAGGAATTTGGCACCAAAGGCCCTGACGACGAGAACGGAAAACCAGAGTGGATCTTAGGCGATGAGCAGAACGTCAAGCACGAGAACGTGCGCAAGCAGGTTTGGGTGCTCAAGATAAACCACGAGAGACAGCAGGACAGTGCTACGGGCTCTGCTTCTGGTTGTGGCTACAAAAAGCCCGCCGACCCGAAGCCGAACCAGAGTCGTAGAGAAGCCTCGTGGTGAGATTAACGAGAACGACTTCCAGTCTTAGGGGTGTCTCTCGAACAGGTTTCATGATTGAAACTCTTTCGTAGCGTATAGCCCGGTAGATCTCCTTACAGCAATCTCATTGCTATTATTGGTCCTTTCCTCTTGACCCTCTGAGTTCAAATAGAAGCCGACGCACTGCCAGTCACATGGTCTTCATGGGTCCTAACACCCTCGAGAAGGGTGACGGGGGCGCCCGAGGCCAACTCATGAGCGTCACGATACTGTTCTAGCTGAGCGGTGGTGGTTGTCGCCTTGTCTACCTTGGATGTATGTCATCACAGCTTTGGGTGCGACTTGATTGGGCTGCTATGGTGCTTCCCCTAGGTATCAAGTGATATATGCATCGGCTGCTTCATTCAACATTTTGTTTGTTTTCACAGTTGTCAAGAGCCGCAGAACTCGGGAAGCTTTCTGTCGCATTTCGACGGCGTAAACGTATAACCTCTGAATGAACCCAACTTCACCGTCTCTCCATCCGACTCACTCTTCTGTCGAGGATACAGCAAATCTCAAGTGCGTGAAGCCAATTTGATTCCGCGTCGTGGTTCAACTCACTGCCCCTCCACCACCTCCTCCAAGCGAAAACTGTCTTGCAGGGGCTTCATCTAAGTTGCAGAATCCTTCAAGGTGGCAAATTGGGACCTCAATCGTCCCATGGCATCCTAAACGTGTGGTCAAAGCATAACGACATGAGCATTGCCCCATGGAGAAAACCCGTCGTGGTCTTAGTGCCTGGTCACATGCCAGACGGGACCGACCGAAAGCTCTCAGTCGTGGTTCTCTCGATAGCAGACAAGCAAAAAAGAGACCTTGTCGTTCGGCTAAACTGAAGGCGAGCAATTTGGAGCTCGGTGCACCTTCTGATTTGGCCTTAGTCATGGACCTTATAATAGACACGTCAAGGCTTGAACAGGTTCAATTAAACACAGTTCCGAACCCAGGCTTATACCTTGAGGCTTTTCCACTCCCTCTGTCTGTCCTGAATCCTTCGACCGGATGTTGTGCTAGCACATAGGAAGGTGATCCTTCCGGGTGAATGCACAGCGGACGCATGATCATTGATCTAAGGGGTCCTCCTGCACTGCAACGGTGCATCTGCATTGCCTAGACCCGGCTGTGCCACTTTGGTTGTCGGCGGGACCGTTGCGGAGCAGGGAATCATATGAACCCCCTGTCGGCTCCGTGCCGAGCAGGAGTCTGAACCATGAACCCCATTTCCGTATCTCGTCTGAGTGAATCCAGAACATCACCACAAGACGACAATTCTTCCTCGAATGATCTGTTGTGACCGGTGTATAATTAGACTGCTTGAACCCTCGTGGCTTTCTTCCTCGTCTTGATCTCCCTCCTCCAGGCTCATTCTCACCTGTCAAAGACTTCAGTCCTTACAGCTCCTCCGTCTCATCGACTTCCCCCAGTCTGGGTTGATCCTCTTCTTCACGATGTCTTTCATCAAGAGCCTGTTGCTGGCCGCCGCTGCGGTCGCATCCGTCTCGGCCCGCAGGGGCCCGGAACCCAAGTACCCTCCCGCTGCCGGCACCAGCTCCTACTGTTCGTACTGGGTGGACTACGAGGGTGACAAGTCCTGCTCGCGTGTCCTCGAGGACAACGTCGTTGTCCTGAAGGACTTTGCGCGATGGGTACGGCCGTATTTCCCACTGTCGAGTGTGCACAACTACTGACCCAAATAAAACAGAATCCCACCGTTGGCGCAGACTGCTCCGGCATCAAGGCAGGCAACTCGTACTGCGTTGAGGCCTTCGGCGAGCCCGAGCCCATCGAGGTCACCACGACCACCCGCGCTGCCACGACGACGACGCAGCCCACCGCGACGACGACGACGTTTGCCAACGGCATCGCCACGCCCCAGCCCACCCAGTCCGGCATGGTGACCAACTGCAACAAATTCCACTGGATTGCCGAGGGCGTCAGCTGCAGCCAAGTCATCAGCTTCCAGAAGATCACGCTCGCCGACTTTGTCAAGTGGAATCCTTCCGTCAAGAGCGATTGCTCCGGCATGTGGGCCGGTGTCAACGTCTGCGTCGGCGTCGTCGGCAGCTCCACCGACACGGCCAAGCCCACGACCACGGCTCCTAGCAACGGCGTCGTCACGCCTCAGCCCACTCAGCCCAGCATGGTGACCAACTGCAACAAGTTCCACTGGATTGCCAAGGGTGTCACCTGCCAACAGGTCATCAGCTACCAGAAGATTTCCCTCGCCGACTTTGTCAAGTGGAACCCCAGCGTCCTGAGCGATTGTTCCGGCATGTGGGCTGAGGTGCAGGTCTGCGTCGGCGTCATCGGCAGCACGCCCACGACCTTGGCCACCACGACGACCACTGCCGGTAATGGCGTGTCGACCCCTCTGCCGACGCAGCCCGGCATGGTGACCAACTGTGCCAAGTTCCACTGGGTCGCCAAGGGTGTGACGTGCAACCAGATCTACAGCTTCCAGAAGATCACCCTCGAGCAGTTTGTCAGCTACAACCCTACCGTCAAGTCTGACTGCAGCGGCATGCAGGCCGAGGTCCAAGTCTGCGTCGGTCTCATCGCCGGCACCACGCCCACGACGACCCGCCCCCCCACCACCACGGCCCCCGGCAACGGCGTGTCGACCCCCCAGCCGACGCAGCCCGGCATGGTGACCAACTGCGCCAAGTTCCACTGGGTCGCCAAGGGCGTGACGTGCAACCAGATCTACAGCTTCCAGAAGATCACCCTCGAGCAGTTTGTCAGCTTCAACCCGACGGTCAAGTCCGACTGCACGGGCATGCAGGCCGAGGTCAACGTCTGCGTCGGCCTCATCGGCGGCAACCCCACGCCCACGCAGACGGGCAACGGCATCGCGACGCCGACGCCCATCCAGCCCGGCATGGTGTCCAACTGCAAGAAGTTCCACTGGATCGCCCAGGGCGTCACGTGCCAGCAGGTCATCAGCTTCCAGAAGATCACCCTTGCCGACTTTGTCAAGTGGAACACTGGTGTTGGCTCTGACTGCCGCACCATGTGGGCCGAGACGAACGTCTGCGTTGGCGTCTAAGAGGCAGATGTTACTTGGATCATGTTTATTGGGCTGGGGAAAACAAGAAGTAGATGAGATTTTCGTCAGAGTTTTCAGAGTACATATTACCTTTACATAATGGCGAGAGTGCCCGTTGCGAATAGATGAGTTGCCGTCAACATGTGTGCAAGTTTTGCCGTGTTTTGTTTTGCTTGGTTGAGTTGAAAGTCTGTTGTCCAGGCTGAGCTTACCTATGATTACGACTTCATTAGAGATATGCTGGTGTGTTGTGGTATAGATCATGCCTATCTTCTACCTCCACAAGGCCTTTCGGCTTGCTCAGACGTATTTATTTACCTGATTCTCCATGCCGACGACTTGTTTCCACCTCACTCGTGAGTCAGCTGTTGTCCTTGCATTCGACCAACCTGGCCTTGGTAGACTCGGCGTCTGTTGTCATGAGTTGCTCTGTGGAGGAAAATACGATCCATTCTACATACCAAACCACATGCAGCTTGATACATGTGTCATTGGAGGCACAGACGGCATGAGAAAAGCAATGACTGTGGTGTGATCTGTGTGTCGGGTCACCACGTGGGTCCTCACCCACCTGTCAACTGTCAATTTTGATTAACTTCCGGTCCCCGAGTTGTCAATATCCCGGGTAGAGCTGACCCGGAAGTCGAATAGGGACGGGAGGGATCGTCGTGACTTTTAGGTCTGGATTTCCATAGCCCGTTGAAACAAGCATCGCGTAGGGCTGCTCAGTTGCTTTGGTGAGGGGAGCCAGCCAACGGAGGTGAAACGCCAATGATCTCTCCTTCGAATGTTCGAATTAACCCAAGGTTTGAACACCAACTACCTACCTACTTAGCAACATTTATATCGCTCGTACCTTTCGAACGTACGACTTGGCTGGAGACTTGCCTGCGCTGGAAGCCACTGACATGGGTTTCAAGATGAGCCATTGACGGTCAACTCTCTTTAGCTGCCTCCACAATCTTCTCTTCATCCTGAAGCATGTATGATCATGAAGTCGTTCAGCTTCCCATCACATCCGTCTGGCCGAATGGCTCACCGGCACGGGCACCGCTGATGCCGTCCCGTCTGGGCAAGTGGGGCCGCTGCGGGGCCGGGGAAGACGGGTGGCGGGAATGGCCCGGCGCGCTTTTTGTGGGTTCGCGAATCTCATCTTAACCATCTTTTTAGCCAGGCAAGCCAGGGGCCTAAGACGACCGGGATCCTGCAGAAAAGACGCTCAACCCCAGAGCGACGCAGGTGAAATCTCGCAAGAATCGCTCAAAACGATTAGCTCCGCAGGAGCACCCAATCATGAACTGCCCGCCACCAACAGCAACGCCACGCCCTCTGAAAGTGCTCCTCTCATCTGCACTTGTTCCCTCGACTGAAATGTGTGTAGCATCGTTATGTCAACGCCTTGATGGCGCAGTACACTGCGCATCCTGTCTTTTCGGATGTGGGCCAGTCGACGACCACTGCTGACATGGCCGAGTGCAGGAGACACTGCATCCTCTGCCTCGGCGCCCTCATACACACCACCAAGCAAGCATTGCCTGATGAAGAAACAGCCTTGGCATCGCGGCCGGATTTGACTCTCCTTGCGATTGAATCCAAACGCAATCGGTCTTCTTATTGTCGGGTCACTCTCTTCGGTTCGTTGTCATATTCAGGAACGCTTAAGAGGTAGCCTCCCGCGTTCAGGACTGGCTCCTGATCATCAACCCACACCCTGCCGCTCGTTTCCCCCAAAGGTTTTCAACCTTGTTTGAGCAGCCATCATGAGATCTTTCCGCCTCCTATCTGTCGTGTCATGGGTACTGGCAGTGACTGCGGCGGCAAGGTCCGTCGCCTGTTACGACCTGGGCTTCAACCACACGCGACACTACACCCGCATCGGCCGCAACACATACCACTACCTCTTGTCAAAGCCCAAGGGGCCACCACTCGGCACCATTGTCCTCCTGCACGGCTTTCCCGACCTGTCGTACGGGTGGCGCTACCAGATCCCCTCCCTCACGGCGGCCGGCTACCAGGTCGTCGCCCCCGACATGCTGGGGTACGGCCGCTCGAGCGCGCCGACCTCCCTCGCCCGCTTCACGCTCAAGAACATGGCCGACGACCTGGCTGCCCTCGTGGGGACCATCGTCGGCCGCCACGAGCAGGTCGTCCTCGGCGGCCACGACTGGGGCGGCGCCCTCGTCTACCGCGCCGCCCTCTGGCACCCGGCCCTCTACCGGGGCATCTTCAGCGTGGCGACGCCGTACTTCCCGCCCGCATCGACCTACGTCGACCTCGCCGACCAGATCGCCGCCGGCGGCACGCCCAGCTTCGGCTACCAGCTGCAGTTCCGCGACGCGGCCCTCGACGCCGAGCTGCGCGGCCCCGACAGGATCCGGCAGACGCTGCTCGCGCTGTACGGCGGCAGGACGCCCGGGGGCGAGTTCGGCTTCGACGCCCGCACGGGTCTGAACTTGAGCCGTCTGAACCGCCTAGGTGGGTCGCCGCTCGTCAGGGCGGCGGACCTCGCGTACTACGTCGCCGAGTACGCCAGGAACACGATGCGCGGGCCCCTGAGCTGGTACCGCACGGCCGAGGCCAACTTCGAGGACGAGCTGGCCCTGCTCGGGCGGGGCGACGGCGCTGGCGTCAACTTCACCATGCCGGGCTTGTACGTTGGCGCGACCATGGACACGGCGCTGCCGCCTTCCATGTCGGCGGGCATGGAGAGGTACTTCCCCGAGGGGCTGGCCAGGGGCGAGGTCGTCTCGTCGCACTGGGCGCTCTGGCAAGCTGCGGCGGGCGTCAACAAGATTGTGGGCGAGTGGATTGCGCAGCTGGCGTAGGGTGAGGAGTGGGCAGACAAAATGCATCCTTTGGCACGAGGATTGTAGATCGCAAAGTCCAATGAACTCATCGAGCGTCGCCCCCCTGAACCCCAGGAACAGACGGCCCAGCCTGGGAACCAACGGCCTTGACAGCATTGTCTTCACAGCATTGTCTTCACAGCATTTCACGACGCCCCTTTTCGTTCCTACATGCACATGTTGGCTCCCCCAAATGACCTCATTCGTGGATTTCCTCATCTCTCCTCTCCTCTGACCATGATAGCCAGTCTCACCTCTTCTTCATCCCTGCACCTGTGTCGGGATTGCGCCACCAATTCCACACAGACGATCACATCCCCGCGCACGCTAGGGGAACCAGTCTGCGGATCTTGTCCCCAAACGTTGCCCTCCTTCCGGGGAACCCCTGAATGTGGCGCACATCCATCTCCTCTCTTTTGTCTGTCTGTCGACCTCTCTTTTGTCTGTCTGTCGACCTGTCTACCTGCCATCCCAAGTCATTTCCATGTGGCCCTGAACGCTGAGGGTGTGGCCGTGAGACCGTAACCGTGCCCCGGCTGGGTCGTCATTCCTCCTCTCATTGACGGCTGAAGACGTCGTGCCTCGGACATGACGCAAGCGCGAGCTCAACAGTCCGCGTGTTGCAATCGACCCAGCACGGCGGAACATGCAACCTTTGCAACCCAATAGACTCTCTTGTATGGTAGCCGGCCGGCCGTTCTGAGATCGCTGCGACCCCACCCCGAAACCATGTGCGATGGCCGAAGAGGCGCATCGCTCCTATGGCGCCACGCCTTCTGAAGCATCCTCTGCGCCGTGGACGGACCAACAGCTGCGAGAGGTTAGATCCGGGGAAGAGACCCCAGATACAGGCCCGGTAAGGCTGGCGTTCCCTCCGTCCGTGTGTCTGAGCCTGGGTCTGGTGGCCTGCGAGATCTAGACTCTGTGCTGACGGTGCTGCAAGGCACGCCATGTGCGTCCGCTTGTCCCTCTCGCTCGCATGGCATCTTAAGGGTAGGGCTGGTACTCCTTGCATTTCATCTGCAAGTGTCGCTCTTATTTTTCCCTCCTTCATTGTTCCTCCCTAAAAAGCTTTTTGACAAGTCCGTTCCACCTTGTCAACTGATAGACGTCAGTCCGTGTCGTCTGTCTTGGCGGTAAAACATACTCACGGCCATGGCTGTTGCCGGGGAACTGCCCGCCAACCTGGACCGCAGCCATGAGCTCTTTTACGTCCAGCTCGTGTTCCTTCTGGTGGCCGGCATCAGCGTCTTGATCCGAATCTACGTCAAGACGTTCCTCGTCAGGCACAATGCCCTCGATGACTACCTCATTTATGCAGCTTTCGTACGTCCCCCTTCTCCTCTCCGCTCGAGGCATCATCCCATGCCTTTTGTCCAGGCCTTCCATCGTCGAGGAACACTGCTAACGCCGATCCCCACGTCCATCAGGCCGGCTACGTGGCCTACGCGACCATCGCCATGGATGGCGCCATCAACGGCGCCACAGGCAAGCACTACGCGCTCCGATACACGATGGACCAGGCGGCCCGCTCGCTGCGCGGCTGGTATCTCTGCATGGTGCTGTACGCGCCCATCACGCTGACGATCCGCGCCTCGGTCTGCGTGCTGCTGCTGCGCCTCGCGACGTCGCGCGCGCACCGCTGGATCATCTGGGCCAACCTGGCCGTCATCGCCGCCATCTCGGCCGCCTTCTTCTTCATCCTCGCATTCCAGTGCAGCCCGCCCTCGCACTTCTGGACCCAGGTCTACGGCACCGACGGCCACTGCTACAGCAAGCTCATCGTCACCTACGCCACCACCGTCCACAGCTGCGTCAGCTGCCTGTCCGACTGGTGCCTCGGCCTGCTGCCCGTCGCCCTGCTGTGGAACGTCAAGATCAACCGCCGGACAAAGGCGACCATAGCCGTGCTCCTCAGTCTCGGCATGATGTGAGCCTCCTCCTTCCCGCCCTTCTTTTCTCGCTGGAAGGGCAGTTTCCAAAAGTTGATGCTAACGAACCCAAGCGCTGGCGTCGTCCTGCTCGTCCGAATCCCCTACGTAACTCGCCTCCCTCCCGGCCTCGAATTCCTCTACCGATCCATGTGAGTTCCTTTGTCGCCGCCTTCTCTTCCAGTCCACCCCCTGACCGCCATGCACAGCGACGTCGCCATCTGGTCCGTAATGGAGCCCGCCCTCGGCATAACCGCCGCCTGCGTCGCCACCTTCCGCCCCCTCTTCAAGAACTGGGGCTTCGGCTGGTCCTCCTACGGCAACAACAACAACTACAACCACCGCCGAAAGAGCGGCTACCCCTCGGCCTCAGGGGGCCGCCTGCAGCTCCCGAGCTCGAACCCGTCGCGTCGCGACCCCTATGGGCGGCACGAGAGCCTCGTCCTCAGCCGGCGGTCGACCGCTGCAGCTGCAGCAGAAGCGACAGCTGGAGGCCGAGACGGGGACGGGGACGTGGGGAGGTTGGAGTCGCAGCGGGAACTCACCATCAGCAAGACGGTGCGTATAGAGGTCGAGACTGTGCCGCGCATTTCGTACGACGACGACGACGCGTCAGACGTCAAAAGGACGTTTTACAGGAGGTCTTCGGATGGCGAGGACGGCGTGTCGATGGGGCGGGTTAGCCTGCAGGGGTCGCCGAGACGGGACGGGTGGGGGGTGAGCGTGCCGGAAAGTGCCTATACGGCCACGGCGTCGCGATCTCGGCCGTGAGGTTGTATCAATTTGTAGAAAGGAGAGGTTTATCTAAGCGATGTTTGTGCCGAAGGCCGTGTTGAGTCATTGCTTGTACTTCGGATGACGGAAGGCGGAGCTTTCAGAGGAGAGTCAAGTTCATGGCAAGCCTGCACGTCCGGGCACGTTAGCAGACCTGCCGAAAGACAACGCTGTCTTTTGAACGATAGCTGCATCCAAAGACAACAGCTTTCTGTTTCGCCGGAGCTGAACCCTGGTCTTCGGGGATCGGGCTTATTCCGCCGAACCTTACTTCATGCATCCCATACTGCCGCCTAACTAGGCAAAGTCAAAGCTCAGTCAGTCCTTCAACAAAAAACGGTGCGTCGCAATCTCGAAAAGCTCCAGCGAAGTATCAAACGAGCCGCCCTCGGAAGTAACCTCCTCGAGATCACCCTCAAGGATATTCGTCTTAAACACCTTGTCCACCGCGAACGTCGTCTTGATCGTTCCTCTAGAGAACCGCCCACGGCATCGTACACCCGCACGACGACACTTTTGCTCTTTCTTTTCGGGAGGTCATCGAGGGACACGTCTTCGTCATCCTCGCCACGCTTGATCCAGTCCAAGACAAGGTTATGGTCTCCGGTGAGCGCAATCGGGGCATTTGGCAGTACATTCGGCCTGCCCTTGGGAGTGGCCACAAGACGGAGGGGGTTGTTAAAGTTGAACGCAGCGCGCACGGTCTGCGCGCCGAGCCCGCCGCGGTGCGGTATCATGGCCCAGCGAATCCGGTGGCGGCCCATGTCGGCGTTGCCGTCGGGGGCCTTGGGTGATCTTAACAGGGAGAGACACATGACGTTGCCGACCGTGGAGAAGCCGTATTTGCTGTCGTTGGGAATGGAAATGCCGTACTTGTGTTCCGAAAGGTCGGCAAACTTGTGGCAGCAGACTTCGAACTTGGCCATGTCTCATCTGTTCCGGTTAGCTAAATGCACGAAAGCCTGGTTCTCAAGGACGTTGAGGATCCGGAATTGTACGTACGAGGTGTTGTAATGCGTCGGCCGCTTGATGACACCGTATTGCGTCTCGTACGAGGCCTCGGTGTTGCTGATCTTGACCGGGAACTCGACCTTCAGAAACTTCATCGTCTCGTGCCAATCGACGTCTGCCGTGCACTCGATGAGAGATGGTTGTTCGTCGAGGACAGATGTGAGGGAGATAATCGTCCTGATGGAGCTGTTCTCGCTGATGCGCGTCTCCGTCACGACGCTCGCGCGATGCCCCTTATCCTCGTGGATCGTGGTATTCGAGTTGCTCGGCTCTTTACGCGTGTCCAAGTGGTACACCTCGGCGTCCCACGCTTGCCAGTAGATCGGCTTGTCGTCGGAGACAGCATACTGATTCGCCTTACCGGCCAACGTCTCTCGCCTGGCTCGGCGATCGTAGATGGAAGTGATGGTTCCGTTCTTGACCGTGACGGTCAAATGAGCGTTCTGTAGTTGGAAAAGGCCAGGTGTGATCTCTTCAACGGTGACAGCCTTGGCGTCGTCAAAGGAGGTCTAGAAAGACTCGACAGCAAGCGCATGCCCCGCCCTTGAAGCTTGAACGACATTCGTCTCCGAAACGTCGATAAGCTCTTTACGCGGCCATGGCAGCGGGTCGAGACTTCGGAGATCGACGGCAGCATTCGTGCAACGCCGAGAACGGTGACTATTTGTTGCAAAAGCACCACGCCTGTCTCCTTGACATTGCATAAATCTATCACCAGGTCAGCACATCTTTTTTTCACTTTACGAGTAAGAAAATACCGCCTGCTTTCTCTCACCTTTTCCGAGTCATCGTAACACATCTCAAAGGCAGTGCCAGGAAGGCAGTCGTGAAACTGACAGAGCAGGACGCCTTGCCACATCTCGTCGAGCTCCTCCTTGCGGTATTTTACCCCTTGTCTTGGATCGAAGCAATCGTCGCGAGCAGCTCAATGTCGTGCAGGAGAATCTCGGAGCTGCGGTTGTGCAGCTTGGTTCGCGCCTGCGTGGTGTACACGCCACGGTGCAGCTCAAAGTAGAGCTCGCCATACCACGTCACGAGGCTCGGGGCCTTCGGTCGAAGAACTGATCAACCGTCGCACCGGCGTGAAAGCGGGGGATGACGCCCATCGTGTCAGCCATACCTCGGAGTCGCCTCATCCTCTCCAAGTGCTGCCACGTCGGGCCACCACGGCCGTCGCCTTTGCCGAACTGTAAACAGATTGGTTAGCAACCAAAGATCATCAAAGGATCCATAGGCAAGAGTCCTTACAGCCATGAGAGCCGTGTTGTCCTGATCCAGGGACTTGTGATTGGAATGCTCTTCGTAATATCGGTATAGTTGACCTCGGCGGTGTACGTCTTGCACGGGGCATGTGACAAATCACCTGGCTGCCATCCAGCCGACAAATCTGAGGAATCTGGCACGAGAAACCAAACGTATCCGGCAGCCAAGACGTCGAGCGGAAGCCAAACTCGGCCTCGAAAAGCGCTGGCCGTAGAGAAACTGGCGCACGAGCGACTTGCCGCAGGGCAGGGTGGTGTCATGCTCAACCCAGGACCCGCCAATGGAGTGAAACTGTCCAGACTTGACCTTGGCCTTGGCGCGCTCCCAGCCGTAGGGGTAAATCTCCTTGAACCATTTGAACTACTGTAGGTCGGTTACTGTATGCTTCCCGGAATTTCGAGGCAGACTCGGCGCCACGGACCTGCTGCGCCTGCGCTTGAGCTCGGGATAGCGGTCCATCGGGTCACACTGGTTCGACCACGATCAGACGACCTTGCGTTTCGTCTCGGCCCACGGCCAGAGCCAGCACGTGTCAAGGATCCTGCCCGCCACGTTAAGCGCCTCGGGCTGCTCACACGTATCCTCAGCCAGCTCCATGGCGGCGTCGCTGATAATGGTGAAATCCATGTGCAGCATCCTCGCCGGCAGGTTCACGACGACGACTTCGGCCTTGGGGAGCTTGAAGTACTTATCCTGGTCCGGCGGCTAGATGGAGTCGCCGCCGGCATTGTTCTCGAAGATGGGCCTGCCGGGCCCCTTGCCGAACATGCCGTTGCAGGCCATCTCGAGGTAGACGACGTGCTCTCTGCCGTCCTTGAAGGACGCGGGGACGACCCACTCGACGCGCTGGCCACGGCCGGTGAGACCCTAAAGCGGCTCGCCGTCGGCAGTCCACACGGTCGCCTCATTATTGCAGTCCCAGTGAAGCTCGACGTGGACGCCATCGTCACAGAGGGCCTCGGGCAGCTTGAGCTGGCAGCGGAACCAGTGCGTCGTTCACGGGGGGCCAAAGGCTTCGCCGGCCTGCGTGTCGTGGAACGTGTTGGCGTCAGCCGTCGCCTCGAGAAATATAGGGCGCGGTGGTGCCGGGTGCGTCCCAGACGGAGGGTTTGACGTGTGGCGCGCTGGAGTAGGCGCCATGATGCAACGACCTGTGTGGTGTGTCGCGTCAGTAGAGCGCGCCACGCATGACAGGAGAGTTCCAGGCCATCTCGTATGCCAACAGGTTGACTTTCTCCCGTTGTCCCATGTGAAGAAATTGACCAGTTGCTTCTTGTACAGGGAGGTGATTTTTTTCCTAACAGGCGCCGGGGCTCTGAGAGGGTACGGCTGGCCGTGGTGGCGGGGGCCGGCGGCGGCGCGCCGTGGTCGTGGCCGTCAGTTCCGTGAGAGCACATGATGAGCGTGACAAGGGCCCGAAAGCTTGGCGACGTCTCGTTAACGGAAGACCTTGGTGCGAGGCGAGAGGGAGAGAGAACAGAGCCACAGCGAAGCTCTTATCCCGCGAACAGCACCAAGACGTCACAGGGATCCTCATGTCACCACCCGTTCACCCACCTCTTGCGCCCAGAGGCCGCGTACGGCCATGGTCGTACATCGCCCAAACTCCACGTTACTTTGCCCACGAGGCACAGAGACAAAGAGGCGATCCTGATGAGCGTGATGCTTCAAGAGTGTGGCTCGGGATTTATGACCCAAAACGACGATGCTTCGCAGTTCGGCTGCCGTCGCCAGACATGGCCAGGGTGGAGGAGAGCGGGGAGAGGACGGGAGGGGGTTGGTGAGGCGTGTACATGTATCAAGGACATGCTTGGCCTCTGCATTCGAGTCAGCTGTTTTGGGTGTGTGTGTGGTCTGTCTGCCTGCCCTGCTCTGAGGTGGGTGGTTTGACCACCAAACATGAGCCCCAAAATGGACACGAGCAGTTTCTCCGCCCTCGAAACTCCGCTTGCCCAGGCAAGAGCCATCCTATTTGATCGTGCAGGCGCAGCCCAGCACGCTTGCCAAGCGTAGACACGGCTCTTGCCCGGGCTCTTGGCAGCAGGATGGCAGCGCAGCGGACCCTTCCCCCTGGGATTCGCTGGTTTCTCCTTGTGCGGTGAGGCCTGTGGGGGGAAAGACGAGAGGAGGAAGGGGATGGGGTAGGGGCGACTGAGGGGGGATTGAGGAGTATAAGTGGGGGGCTGGTGGGGTTGGGCTACGCGACACTGCACCGCAAAATGAAAGGGGAGGGTCCTCCTTTCTCCACGGAGTAAGCTCAAGCATCGACTCGTCGTTGTCTACTCTATCTGAATTCCCGGACCGCTGGTATCGGGCTAGACAATGATTTCATGTCCACACTGATCTTCAGACGCCCGATCCACGGATATCGCAACCAAGTCCGGAGCGTCGACAATCCAGTGCCCCCTTTCGTCGCCCCGTCGCCCACCTCGAGCCTCATGGCCAAACCCCGCAGGACCTCTCTCACGAAAAGAGAAGAGAGGGGGGGATCTCGGTGGGGGAAGGGGGGAGGGGAGAGGGTCTCGGGCCAAGCCCCGGATATCGTTGAGGTCCCTTGCTCGCTTCGGGAAATGGGGGCGGGTGCATGCATCGGTAGGCGGACCTTGGCAGGGAAGAAGTGGTGTGGTGGTGCATGCACAGTGAGTCAACACATGTCGTCTTGGCTCGGCACTCGGAGTCAGGCGGCACGTGCAATGTGAGACCACCCCAGTTCACGCCCAGCCTACCTTGGTCGGTAGTCTTCCCACCCCCTTTCAGCAAATGAGATCATGCATGCCGTCCACGTCCATCGTGGGCTGCTGCTACAGCACAGCACTAAATCTTTGACCATGGCTCCAATGCCCTGGGAGCTGTCAGATCCGTAGGATTGGGACGTACGACGGGGACGTACGACGTGCTAGGACACTAGGTCGTAGGTCATGCAGTGAAGATCATGGGGTGAGGGAAGTAAGACCACAACACAGTTTGAAAATGCTGGTTCCTACATGGGACTGGAGCGGTTGTCGCATGGGGTCATGGACAAAATATTCACAATCAAGGGACGCCGTGTCATCTCACTGCAAAGGTGTGGGTTCATTAAAATTCTCATTAAAGGCATCAGATCAAGTCTCCCTATGGAAGACTCATCCTCCTCCAGGGTGTCATAATCAAGAAGCAGGCAGTAGACATGGATACAAGGCGCTCGTTGGCATCGCATCTAGCGAACCTCGCGGCCTCCAGCCGACTCGACCTGCTCGACGTACTCGAGCTTCTCCTTGCTTTCGGGCTGCGTGAACTCGAACACTGTGGGTAGAAAAGTCAGCAACCTGTATCGCTAATACGTGTCGCAAAAGAAGAAGAAGAAGAAGAAGAAATGTAAACTCACAATCGACAGGCGTCGTGGCAAACTTGCGGGCATTGACCTTCTTCTGGAAGAGGTAGTCGATATCGGCGAAGCTCCTGTTCCTGGTCTCGGGCAGGAAGAAGAAGATCCAGAAGACCCAGACGAAGCAGAGGCAAAAGTACACCATGCCCGTCTTGGCGCCGAGGTTCCAGGCGTCGGGCGTCGAGTTGAGCATGCGAGGGTTGACCTGCTGCACGACGATGGCGCTGGCGACGTAGACGGCACGGCCGAGCACGATGGTCTGGGCGCGGAGACGGCTCGACGAGGTCTCGCCCACGACGACATAGGTGGTGGGGCCGAGGGAGACCTTGAAGATGCACTGCACGACAATGAGGAAGGCGGCGACGGGGATGGCGCTGTTCTTCCTGCTCGTGGCGAAGCCCATGATGCCAATGATGAGCATGCAGGCGCCGATGCCGCCGGATCCGAAGAGGTAGAAGGCGCGGCGGTTCACCTTGCCCATGAGCACAATGGCGATACCGGTGGCGAGAATGTTGACCGACTGGATGGCCATGTTGTAGTTGAAGGCCATGGTGGAGCTCATGCCAATGGAGCGCAGCATGATGGCGGCGTAGGCGGTGATGGACTGGCCGTTGAGCATCTGGATGAGCCAGGCCATGCAGATGATGCCGGTGCGACGAAGGTTGGTGCCGGAGAAACAGTCCTTGTAGCTGGCCTCGGCCGACTCGATCTTCTCCATCTCGTTGGTGTGCTTCATGAGGGCGAGGGTCTCGGCCATCGACTGCTCCGTGTAGTGACCGTTGCGGGCCAGGCGACGCAGGCTCTTCTCGGCCTCCTCGATGCGGTTGCGGCGGATGAGGTACCAGGGGCTCTCGGGGGCGAGGAAGCCGACGAGCAGCAGAGGGGGCACCCAGACCCACTGGAGGCCGTAGGGGACGCGCCAGCCGGCGTCGCCCTTGAGGTTCAGGGAGCCGCGGAGGACGCCGGTGGCGAGGAAGCTGCCGGCACCCCAGCACATGGAGACCCAGGCCGTCAGGTAGCCGCGCATGGCGGCAGGGCAGATCTCGGCGGCGTAGGCGGTGGTCAGGGTCTGGAAGATGCCCCAGGGGATACCGCAGATGACGTTGCCGGCGACGAGCATGCCGACGCTGTTGGAGAAGAAGAGGATGAAGATGGTGGCACCCATGGTGGCCATGGCGCCCTGGAGGGAGAGAGGAAGACGAGTTAGATGATGCGTCGCAGCGCAGTCGGGGCGGGAGACGGGGCGGGAGACGGGGTCAGACGTACCATGTAGACCTTGCGGGAACCGAAGCGCGACTGGAGGTACCCGTTGATCAGGAGACCGATGATGGAACCGCAGTTGTTGCCGGCACCGATGGCGCCCTGCCACTTGGCCGAGATGTGCAGCTTGCCGGTGGCGTCAGGCCATCCAAACTTCCTGAGGTAGGCGTCGTGGGCGAAGAAGTTGTTGATGAGACCGACGTCCATGCCCTCCATGACGAGGGCGAGACTGAGAAGCATGCTGTAGACGGCAGCAGGCCAGTAGCGGCTGAAGAGCTCCTTGCGCGAGAGCGAAGCCTCGGCGTCACTGGCGGCGACGGCAGCCTCGATGAGCTCGACCTGAGGCGTATAGACGCCATGCTCCGTGTAGACGGGGGTCGGCTTGGGGCCGGCCTCGAGCTTGCTCTCGCTCTGGGTGGCCATGGTTTGATGGTGTTGGGAGGGGGGGCAGGCACAACTAAGATGTTTGTCTGGCAAACACGGCCTCGTGATACTGTCTGGCAGAAGGGAGGCAAGGAGGAAGAAAGAGAGGCCAGAGAGGAAGGAAGAGAGGCCAGAGAAGGGGGGAGGAGTGGCGACAGGTGTTGATGCCAGTGAAGAGAGGAGAAGGGAAGGAAGGGGAACCGAGTCTGAGATGGGGAGGGAAAGCGCAGAAGATATGCTTCTCGTGGGTTGACTGATGGGCCGGGGGTAGTGCCTGCCTTTGGCGTTGCCCGCTTCGACCTCGCGTCGACGGTGCTCAGGTCGAAAGTACGAGTACCATGTATACATTGGGGTCACTCACTGCCCTGGTTCTGCTGTGCACTTGGCGCTGGGGAAGGGGCCTGGACACGACCTGGGGGGGGGTGGCCTGGGCACGACCTGGGGGAATGACCCGGGGGAGAAATGGGGTTGGGAGGGATGGCCCGGGGTGACCGGGGTTCGGTCCGGGGCAGACCCAGTCGTGGGTGGCCGAGGTCGTATGGCATGGTTTTTTCTTCTCGTCTCCTGTTGTACGTACAGACATGGCCTGAAGGGGGTACCTAGCAGACTAGCAGACGAGCAGACGACATGGTAGCAGACTAGCGAACCCAGACCTTAGGGTTAATGCCTTGCTTCCGGCCTGTCGAATTGCCGGCCGTGGCCCAATCAGTCGCGGGCTTCGGGTGGAGGTCGGCCGATCCAGACCCGAGTAGACCTTAGGCCGTGGAGTCCAGCATAGAGTTCCCCATGGGGTCCCACGAATCAGCAGAGGAAGCATGCCCAGCGTCGGTCCACTTTCGTCAGGGGGCTTTGGGGGCGTCTGAGCTGCAGAAATGGCCATGTGACGGAGCTCGCTGCACTGATGCGGGCTGGTGTGCGTGCCGAGCGCGCGGTGGTGTGCTGTGGTGGGCTGGTGTGCTGGTGGGCTGTTGCGCTGTTGTGCTGTTGCGCTGGTGCACGTGGCGCTCTGCAGGGTCGGTCGTCGCTACAAGCATCGCCGAGCCTGGGTGGGGGCCTGTTGAGCCAATCAACATGACCAGGTTCTCTCCTACTGCCGGCGTCTCGCGTCTCGATCCAAACGCAATCCCATTGTCTCTCTCTCTCTCTCTCTCTCTATCTACCCTGAACACAACCAAACAAAAAACCAAGACTCCACACATCCTTGACCCCCAACGCTGAAGTAAGACAACCCCCCTTTCCCCTTGACCCGGACATTTTGACCACATTCGGACAGCCCAGCCCAGGAGCCGCTGAAGCGATACGATACAGTCCAGGGCTACTACTGCCCAGCAGCGAAAACCCTCTTCAGAA